TGATTGGTTAATAGGACCATAAAAACTGATATCCACTGAGCGTCGCGTGCTGCGAGAGACTTACCAGACTTGATTTTCTCGAGCACACCAACATTTTCTTCATTTTTACCCGATGCAACTAATACACAGAGGATGACGGTTATGGCCTTCCAGCAGCACATGTCTCGAACTGAAAAAGACGAGCGTCTCCAACATTGATGATATCGCAGATTCCTGACAGATTACAGGTGACCACCCATGTGAAGAATATTCTTAAATTATTTCCGTGTTTTGCGTCGAGTTCAGGCCTCGTGAAATTATGAGACCATTATTGGCTCCGCCAACCATAAAGACATGTTTTTTAATCAACGAATGGCTCATACAGAATGATAACTGCATAGGGTGTTAACTTTATCAAAATAAAACATTGAATTCAAACCATAGGAAGGCTCAAGCTGTTGTATCAAATAATGGCACCATTGAAAAAAAATTAGCGATCAAAATAACATTATCGGGGGTGAATTCATGAGAGATAATGTTAATATCGATAAATAGATGTTCAATTGAATGAAAGTTTTATTGCTTGCCGTGGCAAACAATCAAGAATCAAGGTAATGAAAAAATCGCAAGAGCATCCTCGAGCGCTTTTTTCTACGTCCCTCAATTCTAGATTTTTTGCCAAATCCAAATGGATACGATTCGAATACAATTTGAAATGTATTCATCAATAAAAACATTTCTCGAATGTATTTTAGGGAGATTAATATACAACTACAGTATAAAGACAATTTGGTTTGAAAAAGAAACGACGTTGTGTTAAGAAAACTCGAAAATTATCTGACGGCAGTGACAGTGACAGTTATTGTTGTCAAAGTATATTGAAATGTGTTGATTGAGAGCAAAGTATGCATATTTATCGGTTATTGGGAAGCCAAGGTCGCTTTTCATCAGTACAATTTTTTTTATTGTAGTCGTATTGAAAAAAAGCGTACAAGTATATTGGAGGGAGGAATTAACGTCATCCTATTTGCGTAAAACGGGCTATCGGGAATGGATGTTTACCAAATGTTAACAGTGGAGTAATCATAGGTTCTCAAAAACACAAAGATTGGCTGATCCAAATTTTACACAACGAGTACTAGAATGCCGAAATCTGCTATGTACAGAAAAAATGTATAGACTAAGCGAGTGAATACAAATAAAAATATGAGGTAAGAAGAAATGGATGGCAGTAAAAAATAATTTCAAAAACTGATTTTTTTCAACGAAGCAAAGCTGCAAGAGAAAATGTCACACCTCTCATTGATGTTATTGTAATTGCTGCAAATTCTTTATAAAGGTGAGTTTTTTCGTACATTTGTTCGAGGTACTTCGAGGTAAAATAGATTGTTTTGCCTAGAATTGACTCTGGGAAAATGAAAACTAAGCATGCACATTTGCTTAACCATGGACGTATTTATACGTCCATGTGCTTAACAGAGTTCCACAGCTGATTTGGCCATGCATTACCTTAGAAAGAAATATCAGAGCAGATATATTCCCCCTATTTTCAAGAGAATTGAAGTTATATCTCTCTAATGAGGCATTATCAGATATTCCTACAGGGTAGACACCATTTTCCTTGAATGATTGATACCTATATCATGAAACGTATATTGATTCATTCAAGGCTATTTATATGAATATTATAGTATCGAACATAGGAGTTATACAAAAGGAGTAGTGTATCCGTTTTTGTGAAATCGCGAATATTTCTGACAATGAAACCTAAAGCCCGGGAGCATTCATTGGTGATTCTATTTATGTAAATTGAAAAAGATTATTTATGATCAAAGGTTATACCTAGGTCACGGACAGAATTAAATTGAGGAAGCACATCATTGCCAATTGGGTAATAATAAATGAAGTTATTCTGCTTACGTGAAAATGTTACAATCTTACACTTTTTGGCATTCAACAGCAGATGATTCTTTATGCACCAGGTATATACCCTATATCTAGGGCAATTTGTAAGGTAGCACAATCACTCATGCATTTTATGTAATATATCTAATTTTATATAATTTTAGATCATCCGCATATAACAAACAGTTGACTCCAAGATCCCCAATAATGTCATTGATGAATCGGTTGAAGAAAAGCGGTCTCAAGACAGAGCCTTGTGGAACGCCAGATGTGGTTACAAAACTCACGGAACTCGAACCAAGATATTCTACGTGAAGAGAGCAGTTTTTTTATTAATGAGAGTTGAAGAGAGTATTCAAGTTACCTGAGAATCCAAAACCATTCAATTCACTGAGAAACATATTATATGATCTAGCCTGGTGATTGATCGGTTTTGGCAAATTGGAAAATTTTCATTGGTTCTCAGAATAGGCGTGTATCAATCGATGATAATCGCTTCTAGAAAACATATAAAATGGGGAATATTGCGGAGAATGAAGCGACGATGCCATATCAGTTCATGAAAAATGGTGGGATAGCAAATATCGAATTTGATAGTGGCTAGAAAGTGGATATTTCTTCGATCTGAGACATATAATCACGTTGAATGAGTTCAGAATTGGATCTTATCACTGATATTCAGAAGTGGATAATTCAAGAATACTCTGTGTTGAAGAGTGATTGACAAAATAATAAAAATGGAGTTAAGGTATCGTCAACTAGCTCAAAAGGGATCAAAATCTGAGTTTTTTCAGTACTGTAACCAAAGTTTATTTCTTGAGAGTGTGAAAAAATATATATGATTCGTATATCCTTCCTCTAGAGCTTAGTGATGAAATAAAAATGTCAACTTTCATGAACGAACAAGGCCACCTTCTTTTGAAACATTATGCATATGGTTGCTATATAGAGTTGGGGGATTCAATTGATGGCTTTTGGCCGTTTTGGTTTTCCGTTCGGAAATTAGAACGTGAAACGTAATTTTTCATAGAGGTTGAAGAAAAAAGCTATTCATTATACAAGTGAAAAAAGTAGTAGATTTTAGCTCTAGGTTGTGTTGTCTCCCTCCGCTACGCGTTGGAATGACACCTGCCTTGCAGGTATCTTTATCATTCTTTTGCAGTTTTCAAATATCTGTCAGCCTTATTCTGTGATTTAATTTTGAAACCGCGTAACATGCAGTTCTTTCTCGGAGATTTTGTTATTGGCTTATTTTTCGGAACTATAGCACAGCAAAAGCCATCAACAGTGTATATATATGTGATTTTCAGATTCCTGTGTGAAACTGATGAATTGTTGATACATTTAGCTATATGCTGTATATGAAAATAAGCGCTTGAACTGTTCAGAGTTGTGAAGAGGAGGAGTGGGAGTTCCTCAAGGTATGGACATCAAACCGATAGGGGACCTTTGCAAAAAAATATCTTCGAATTTTATGTATAATAGGATATTAATGAACAAGCAGCATGTAGCTACCCTAATAACACAGCTATCCAATAGTCAATTTCCATTTCAGGTCTAAAAGAGGATCGGATGTTCATGGGCAAGAAATGTACATTTATCGGATGAACTAAAATGCCCGTCCAATGGAATACCACTGCCACTATTCCAATGGATAGTCAAAAAAGTTCTGGATATTCATGGACATGAACTGTACATCCATTGGATAAACCTTAATTTCCATCCAATGGATAACTAGTGACACCTTTTCAATGGATATCCATAATGTCTGGATCCATTCTTTCGTGTTCTTTACTGTCTGTTCGTCATGTATTCATGTTTGCTGTTATTGTATGTAGAAGTTTGTATCGTTCGAGGCAGATTCATGCACCAATATTGTTGTGAGGCTCACAGCCCGTATATTCATATAAGTATAAAGCTATTCACAATAAATATCACCTCGATTATTAGAATTCCAACAAGTATCTATTTCTAATAAAATAAGAAATCTTTATAAACTAATCTCAGCATTTATCCATAAAGTAGTATAACTACTGTTAGTTTCAGAATAGAGTTCGTAATGGTACCACTTCTGATGCACTCGAAATAAGAATACACTAACCATAAAAAGAAAGAAAAATTGAACATAAACGAGCTGTCTACGTTCTTCTTCGATCTCGTTCAAAAAAGGAAAGATAAATATTGTACCTTGTGTGTGCGACGGCGTTGTCAATTCATCAATATTTTACACCGACAACCTTGACTGGTTTACTTTTGATCCTCCAGATTAGGTCTAGTGTTCCAGAGAAATCATCCAAGAGAAAGGTAGCTGATTTCATCAATCTAAAAAAAATCTCGACTTTCCATACGAGTTACATAGGCAATCAAGAAAGGAATAAGTACCCAATTGTAAGCCCTAAAAGGGAAAATTCATCATATAGTACTGCTCACTATACATATATTCATAATCATTGAAAGTGCAATGATTTCGAACATGAAAAACATTTGAAGAATTCAGCCTTGAAGTGGTAGCAATTGAAGAGTTTTACTTTATGAACCCAAAATAATTTGGTGATAAGTTGTGGAACACGTTCAGTAGCTCAATAATCCAACAAAACTTCTGGAATTATCATATGGAATTTCCAAATTTATCCTCAAAATTTGATTATCGCAATATAAACGATGGTTTTCCAAACCTCTCTTGAGAGAGAGAGAATGAACAGATATACTGAGCATAGGCGAGCGCAAAAATCCTGCTGGAATTTATAAAAGATTGAAAATAAATGTTAAAACAAAGATAACATTTAGATTTATTCGTTTTGCTAACTGAATAGAATAACTGTTCGATGATTTCTGAATTTATTGAATAATTATTGTGAAATAAATCTGTTACACATATTGGGTAGCTTTGTGTTATTAGAGTACTGTCTTCTTATGCCTATATTTTCGAATTCAAAAATTATGCTCAACCCTGTATAATAATTGTCCATAATGGTTTCTTCCAAGTTCGGATACAAAAAACTGTACATGTTCATGCACAAACAGCACGACACCGAATTGCACCATTCCATTTCGTTGGAGACCATTCGAAGTGTGACATGATTGTCTTTTTCACGATCCTAATACTTTTGTGTGAGATGTGCCTAGGCCAAGATATCACGAACATAGAGGACATCCAAACTCTGAGCGAGTTGCCGCTGGAGAAGCTGCTGTCCCTCAAAAAAGTTTTTCGGCCAGACGAGAGTCAGGATGAGACCATACCCGATGCCATTGAGAAGAAAAACAGCGCCAGTTCTCCCGAAGCTCTAGCTTTGCAGGTAGGTGTTTTTATTCTAGACTATACAAGGTGTTTCATAATATATGCGCCGGACTACAGGACATGACAGCTCGTTCAAAAATATGAAGAAAAAATTATGTCAACTCACCCTCTGAAATGGACCATTTTCGAGATACAGGAAAAAGTGTTTTGCGAATATCTCTGTAAACGTTAATCGCACAGAAAAACAGCTTTCGTGACCATTTTCAACTCATAATAAGATACATTTTGTGTGGATTTTTAGTTTTTTATGTCATAATTGCTGAAAATTTTGAAGGGGTAGGAGGTGTTCTTTTCCCTAGCTTCTACGTCACTGAAAAAAGTACAGTTTTGAGCTGCTCCTTTGAACTGCCAATATTATTTGCACAAAGAATGTACTCTTTGTCATAAGTTCTGAATTTTAACGTTTTTGACAAAAATCAACTCTTATGTTGAGAAGTCAACTCCTACACGGAAAACGCTATTTGACGACGACGTGAGTCTTTTTGGCATCGATAAAAAAGGATGCACCTTTTTTATCGCTGATAAACTGCCTGCTCCTTTGATTTAATAGCTATTTGCGCCTGATGTCACTTCAGTTTCTGTGGTGTCAAGTTGGTTCACGCGTAAATTAGCAAGATGAGCCGTTTTAGTAAAATTTCATCTGAAGAAACCACGATAATATAAGAAAATAAATTTCGCGAACTACCAGTTACACGAAATCATCAATAAAGGTAATCATTATTGTTGTTTATTTGTATAATGTCGTTGATATCTTGCCAAAAAACACTCGAACTTTTTTTTAATGGACAAATTTCCTTACTAACCCAAACATTTTCCATCAGATATTTCTCTCAAGAAACTGACATTAGACAAAATTTGCTCGACCTACGGTCTCGGAATTCTTTCATGTCAGTTTTTCTTGTGAAATCACTGATCGACAGATGTTTTTCGTTACCAAGAGAAATTTATCCGATAAAAAAAAGCTCTTGTGTTTCTACTGTTGAAAAACATTGTCAATTTCGGTTCATTCTGCTGGATTCTTTGAAATTATTGTTTTCTGTTGGAGTATGGTTTGTTATTAAGGAACCACGAAAATATATGAAAATAAATTCCGCAAAATACCAGTTACACGAAATCATCAATAAAGTTTATCATTATTGTTGTTTATTTGTATATTGCCGTTGATTTATCTTGCCAAAAAACACTGGGAATTTTTTTTATTGGATGAATTTCTTTAATAACCCAAACATTTTCCATCAGATATTCCTCTCGAAAAACTAACATTAGACAAAATTGCTCGACCTACGGTATCGCAATTCTTTCATGTCAGTTTTTCTTGTATAATCACTGATCGGCAGATGTTTTTCGTTACCAAGAGAAATTCATTCGATGAAAAATGCTCTTGTGTTTTTACTCTTGAAATACATTGTCAATTTAGGTTCATCTTCTGCTGAATACTCTGAAATAAATATATTTTATTATGGTTTGTCATTGTTTCCTTCATAATTTCGCAATTATGAATTCAATGTTTGAATCGACTTGTTCTAACATTCAATTCATTTTGTTTAATTGGTGAAATGTAATTTTTTGAAGAAAACTTGGTCTACCATTCGAAATTAACCAATATGAACACATGGAAATTTCCTTTTTGAATATCACTAACCACTGGCTTAGTTAAGATCGTATGCTGCCACATTTTTCTTCATATATTTCCTTGAACAGATGAATTAGATTCGGTGTATGATATCAGTTAGGCTACTTGATACCGAACCGAAGAATAATATCATTCCTAAACGTGAAGGTTTCTAAATACCTACTAAATATATGCCTCCAGTTTTCTAGATAAGTGATTGACCAGCAGAAGTGGTGATGAATTGTGATTCTCGAGTGAAACACCCTGTATATCATTGCATTTTCGATTTCTGCATCATTATTTGATTCCAATAATACCACAAAAGTAACATTTCAAATTTCAATATTGATTTCAATCTTATATTTGATTCTCCATATACTTAAGTGTGTGGTGACTATTCTGATTTACTCCTATTGAGGTCCATCAAAATGGTTTTTAGGACAAAACACAATTTTTTCTTATGGAACCATATTGTATAACGTAGTATCATTCGTCAGTATTCGCAATGGGGAGTTTATTCATAGGGTTCAAGTGGAAATTTGCTATTAATTCAGTCGAAACAACACCGGGAAAGAATGAAATGATATGAAAACTTACAAAATACCCGAGCACATCATTGAATATTCATCACATAGGAACTCAGTAAGCACTTCACTCAGAGGAATTGTAGGTAGTAAACACCAAACGTTTAGTGAAATAGGCGCCAGTCAGTACATTCATCAAATAATACCATTACAAAATTACCATAAGTATTGTCACGATAAAATAGATGGTTAGTCCATCCATATCGATTTATAAGGGGTAATGCTTGGCTTGATAGTTTGCAAGAGGTAATATTCAAATAGGCACTAATAGTTTAGGGGTAGCTGAAAGTAAGAAACTATATTCAAATATAACAATATTCATTAAAGCATGGAACATTATGGGTAGTGATGATGAATATGAATTGAAAACTATGAATATAAGAGCCCAATAACAACTTACATTATATAATTACCATTACGACGAGACGAGTTCTTGTCAAGTCAATAAGAGTAGCCCCAGACCAGACAATATCCAATATTTATATACATCATTTTATTAGACTCATTCCTCATGAGAGTTCCTTGGTCAGTTTTCATAGTTCAATGTCAACGGATGATTTGACTAACTTCATGTTTATAAAACCCTCATGGTTCGAAATCACTTATATGCCGTATGTTCTACTCGTGACAGTATCAAACTATTTTGTAGGGGTAATATTTGATATAATTTAGAATTATAAAATTTTGTAGTGGTGATGAATGTAGTGACTAACGTCTATTTTACTAAACGTTTGGTATTCACTTCCGTCGATTTTTTTCAGTGTTTCGTTGTATTATTTTGTCACTTTTGAAAGCTATCCCAGATAGCACAGCATATTCTATGAATATTCTGACAACGGTCAAATATACTTATTTCAGAACATTCTCATAAAATGTTCGCAGAATGATCAGAATATTCTCAAACAATATTCTATGAATATTCTCTTCGTACATATCTTCAGAATATTCTTTTCGAATATTCTGAGAATATTGAGAATCATATCGAAATATATGATAATTATGTTCCTATTCTTCAATGAATATCTATATGTGATGTTCACCCTGACACAACCTATTATTCTCCAGCATCAATGCTGATTATCCCACTAATACAGTGATGGCATCTTGCTATTTATTTTATTTGTCAATATAAGGTTCGTGGCGAAGTGGTAAGGTTTCAGGTTCGTAAAAAATCAATCACAAGATAGTATAGGTTCGCATCTCCCATTCCGAATGTTCATAGAACCTTCCTAGATTATTTGTATCACATTGTGAGAATATTCTGGGAGACTTGACCATAAAAAAATTCATGTCCTCTGTAGTTGCTCAGTTTTTCATTCCTCAAATCTATGTTACAGAATCAGAAGCCAATGACAGATCGTGGAGGAAATTACCAGTACCACTACGAAGAAGAATACCACCCCAAAGAGGGGAAAAACAAAATACAAAGCATATTCCAAATCTCCGTGACAGCCCTGGCGTTTCTAGCATTCGGTGGTTATCTTCTGTGTCTCTTAATCCATGCCATCAACAGCAAACAACATTACTATAGCAATCAGAATGCAACAACAGCTCAAAATGTAGCCGCGATAATCGCTAATAGATTGAAGAGGAAAAACGTACGACCACGAATTCGAAAAAGACCTAACAGTAACGCAGGCATTAATAGCAATATCAACACGAATTTCAATCGTTATAGAAGGGATGGGCAGCACAATAGAACAAGAAGAGGAGCTGCTGATGACAGTGTGACGGACAAAATGTATGATGCTCTGATAAATTTAGCAGAAGGTTTCACCAATTATCATACCGTTGATTATGTTCATCTCAATCGTTCTGGAATCTACAACATCGATAGGACTCGCTTTTTATGAACACCTATATTCCATAAAGCAAAAGCATGCAAAAGTATCTTTCTGCCTCTCAAGGCTCAAGTCAATCACAGAAAGCGTTACGCTAATGAAAAAATCTTGTGAAATCCCATATCTTCACGTTGGTGATTGATGACCAAATTAAAAACCTGTGAAATAACATAATGAATATAGCCACTTCCCTAACTATTTCACATAATTCGTGGGGTTAATATATGATTTCATAACTATCTGTAATTTCACAAAGCGCGTTCTGTGATTTTGAGATGTGCAATCACATTAAACATTTGGTGTACTATACCATTATTCATCATGTGACGTTACTTTATTGACAGTGTGAATTGAGTCATACATTGTATTTTTTATATATATGTGTATTTGCAATAAATAAAAACTTGGGATACAGAATGAATACATAAATACAGTGTGGCGACTTTAACTGGAATGAATTCGGTAGCATAAAGGTGAATATTTTTTTTTTAATTCTCGACATACATCAACGATTTGATGTATTCAACTACCTTTTGCAAGCAGAATCGAGAATATATTCTTCCAGGGTTAGCTGAAACTACTCTGAACATAATTTTTTCAAATGTAACCCTATGGCTCATGACCCCTCATTCGGAAGCTGGTGGAAAGAGGAATTAAGCGTACCAGTAAAAATTCCAAAAGAAGATTGACTTCCTGAATAGAACCGTCAAAGAAGACTAGGCAGTCATCGACATATCTATACCAAAAGCAAACCTTATATGAAACAAATTAAATTCCTTCAGTCTATTTTCTAAGTCTTGTAGAAAATTTTCTGCTAGAAGAGGGGAAAGGTTGGTGCCCATGGCCATACCAGAAAGTTGTGCATAAAAGGACTGATCAAATTGGAAAAAATCCTGTTTCAAAACTATATCTTACAGAGAGCATGAGTTTAAGCAATGGTGAGTGGGAATCGCTGATTCAAATAGTAGGCTGCGAACTAATCTGATACAATCCTCTAGGGAAACACTGGGAAAGAGATTTACTATCAAAAGATAAAAGATAGCATTGGGAGGAATATTGAAATTTCTGATTTAATCGATGAGGTCAACTGAATTTTTGATGGAGAAAGGGTTATGAAAAATCTGTGAGTTCTTTGATCAGAGAGTTCAACCATGAGGCAAGCTTGTAGGAAGGAGAATTGCAGTAGGTACGAGACAACAGGTCTGATGGGGATGTTGTGTTTGTGTATCTTTGGCAAGCCATAGAGCAGAGGGGCTGAAGGATTCATAGGTGTCAATTTTAATTTGGAAGACTCATAATATGTAATAGTATAAATACACATGGTGAGGGTTATTTTCATATGGTTAAAAAATTTTTGGGCAGTATCAATAGATAATTTGAAAAAGCTATCAGAGAGTAAGCAGTCGTTTACTTTGTCAACATAATCTGACCTATTCAAAATTACTAGGCAATTGCCTTTATCGGCCTTGGTTACTACAAGTATCTACAAGATTGTTATCAGAGATTTTTTTGGTGACATTTTTACAGCATTTGTTATCAGGATTGCCAATTGGTAGAGAGAAATTATTGTTCAAGGATCTGAAAATTCCACTCTTCAACAAATCTTTGTTAGTAAAATTATTATATTCAATGACACGTTAGCTTTCTTTTGCTGAAAATTTGAAATTCTGAAGATTGTTGTGCGGACAGAGTGTCTATATTCTAATTCGCATTCGCTTGCCGGTCGTGGGTTCGATCCCCGTCGACTGCAGAAATTTTTGTGATGGCCCAAGAAAGTGTTCGGGATCACACGTTAAAAGGTAAGGCCCCCGTCATTCCTTGCTCGCACAAGACTTTCGAAGACTTTTGAGGGTTGCTCGTAAGGGGGCAACCGAATGACGGATAGAACAAATTGTAGAACAAAAAAATTAATATCATATTTCAATCCCTGGTTCAGAAAGAAAAGCTCTTTTTCAGAAGATTCACAAGCAGTTATATTCAATACCCTAGAATGAAACTTATGATTTGAGAAATGGTTGTATGTTTTTTGTGAATTTACAGTGCTGTGGTAGTTGAAACGTAGACTTAAACGGTTCAGTTTATCTTTCAGTGTTGAGTACTTCATCCTACCTTGGTCCTCCACACAATTCATGGGAGGAGAAAACAGATCATCCAGTTCACTATTATGTAGCACTGAAGTTAGTTTGCTGTGAAGCCATTTCAATTTGTTGTTGATATCAGCCATCCTAACATAGTGTCTCTTAATTTCCTGTTCTATCCATATATTCTGTGCTATAAAGATGGCTTTCATGGAAGAATAGCTGCGTGACTTTGAACGTGATGAAATGTATCCAGGTACCAAATTGTGGCGGAGGCATTCTCTATTGAACCATATATCAAGACCAGTAGTTTTCCTCAGTATCAGGATTTTCTTGAAGAATTGGAACAAGGTATTTCGACTAGCATTTTAATTGATCAACTTATAGCAATATAATTTTCATCTTTCAGTTTTGAAATCTTTTTCCTGCTTTGGTCCCTACTACACTTTATGTTTATTCGAATTTGTATATCCAATATCAATTGCAGAATATCTCGCACTGTGCATCGTCGGCGTTTTGGAAGTTTCCTTTGAAGTGGCTGCAGGTGCGACACGAGAATCTGCAATTGTTTTTGGATAAACTATATCTACTCATTGGTTTAGGTCAAGTGGTGCTTCTGCTGGTCGTCCACTAGTCTTTATCTACGGACAGTTGACATTGTCACTGTCATATCTGTCTTGTCATCACAGAATTTACGTTTTGCGCTTTGTGGATTGCTGAAAAAGTCACTTGTCCTCTATCATCTGATGATGAAAGTTTGTTTTGAGTGATTATTTGACTCCACCGTTTTTTGGGTTTTTCCAATAATGGGTTTTGCCATTAAATCGTGGTAATGTACGTCCTCATAGGGCACAGGGCTCCTTCAAAATCAACCTGACCTTTAACCGGTGCTTATTTGCACAATAATTTCAGTTTTTTTCATTCACACGTGAGTAAATTCTCCATTTCATACATATCGTTCATGATTAACTTGTACCATATTATAGGACCTTTGGTTTGTAAGGATTGAGCTCGGGATTGAGGCTGATGATGGACACATGAATGTCCGAAACATGTTCCCCTAAATAATCTTTAGATTATTCAACTTTGTGGAGATGATTTTGTGTTTTCTAACCCTCTCATCACTACACTCCATTTAGAGGAAATTATGGAGTTCTACATAAGATTAAATAAATATTTGATTGAATCAATATCTTATTGTTATTTCGAATCAAACAAAATGATTGTTTGAGCCAATTCACTATCTCTTCATGAACAATTCATGGATGTGCTTGATTGAATAAGATCCAGAGCTCATGCAAGACATATTTACTCGATTCAAACTTCAAATTCGCTCTGAAACAAGATATAGGTTCACTGATTTCAAGATTATATTTTCTCGTGCATATACGACACTTATATTTACTTCATTCAATTTAATTTTGCTCCATTCAACATTTACTTTTTTTTCGTGTGACCTAAAATGCTATTGGGGTATATTGAGTTATATTCAGTAGATAGTATATCTTTGGTAGGTACCTACCTACTATATGATTTCGGTAACAACGTATTATGGGTTTAGTATGGGCATATTTATTTCAGTGACTGGAAGCAGTCCTATTTTCCATATTTCACTGCCACAGCCGCATTGGGTGGTCAGAGCAGACAATATGTATACCTACGGTGATACCAATAAAAAAACAATAATTGACACCAGCAGAAAGTGTACGTTTTCATCGAAGGCAGCGAGTTGAGTTGAGTTGAGTTAGTCCATAAGTTCTGTGTGCCCAGCGTCTCTCGGCCAATACAGGGTGTTTTCAGAGCTGATGCATATTTTAATCATGAAGGACTCATCAAAATGAGAACACTGTATCAACGATAAAATTGATCAGACTTTAAGGTGTGATTTTTTTGGGAATTTCTTAAGAAAATACATCGGGGTATCAAAGCTGTTTCAAAATATCGGTTTTCCGTCGATATTGCCAAAATTTCTTATTCAACTTTGTTGAAAAATTGTAGTGTTATCTGTAGTAGTTTGACACTAATTTATGCAGTCTTACTAGAGAACGGTTTTTCAATAAATTTGATACTGTGTCTTGAAAACTGTGCAGCTATGTTAACATGAAGTTTTCATCTTAGAAACACTACAAAATTGCCTCTCGAAGTTCAGCTTCATATTTTGCTGAAACATTTTGACTCCTGAATCCGAATAGAATATAATTTTTTTCAATTTGGCTGTCAGGAATAGGCCGTACTGTTAATTACTGAATATTAACTACACCTTTTTCAATTGTAATTCAGAAAGTGTAATTTGTAATTCAGATTATTGAAATGTGATTCAGGAAGTGGAACTTGTAATTCAGAATAATAATTGTGATTCAGAAAGCGTCAATTGACATTCAGATTTTGATTCAGAAAGCATAACATGTGATCCATATATTAGCGAAATGTAATTCAATTTTTCAATTGTAATTCAGAAAGTGTAACTTGTAATTCAGATTAGTAAAATGTGATTCAGAAAGTGTAACTTGTAATTCAGAAATCTTCAAATGACATTCAGATTTTAACTCGGATTTTGATTCAGAAAGCATAACATGTGATTCATATTAGTGGAATGTAATTCAGAAAGTATAACTTGTAATTCAGAATAGTCAATTGTATTTGAAAAAGCGTCAATTGTAATTTAAGAAGCATCACTTGTAAGTTATTCAGAAATTTCCATGGATTTGAATAAGGGTAGAAAATAAAGAGAATCACGAATGGTTTATTATTTTTTTATGTTCTGGTTTCCACGAAAAGGGATATCCTGTAATGTTCAGAGAACATCGTGAGAAACAAGGGATATAAGGTAAATATTGGTGTTCTGTTTGAATTTCTGGAGGTTATATGTCTCGGGGAACACCTTTTTTGGCAATGTGTTCCAGAGCCTCGCTGTTCGTTGGATGAACCAGTCTCTGGAAGGGGATGTTCTGCAGGTCTCCAAGGTGACCACGAAGGGGTGCGAAGCCTCAACTCGACGGGTGAATCTCGTGCTGACTGCCAAGGAAGGAATAGTTGTTGATATTTCAGAAGAGCATCGTCCATGAAAATATCTATAAAATAGAGCCAGATCGCCAACTTTTCTACGATGTTCCAGAGGAGTGAGTGAGTTTGTGAGCGAGGCATCACCCACGAGACGAATTGCCCTTTTTTGGACAGAATCCAACAGTCCCAACAATCCAACAAATATGGGAACAA